GGATCTGGCCCTGGCACCTCTGCAACCTCAGCTCCTCCTTCTGTCCCCTCCCTCCCTCCTCTCCTGCCACGCCTCCTCCTTACTCCTCAGACCCACCTGAGAGCCTGTATTTTCCATGCTGCTCTCAGGTCTACAGTAGCTAGTCTCCCACCTCTTTCGGCCCCAGTCTGCTACCTGGCATTACCTATTTGCTTATCTGTCAACTGTACCCACACACACTAGAGCCTGGGCCTGCGCCTGGACGGGCAGGATTCCATCTGCTCTGTTCACCACAGTGTCCCTGGCATCCAGGACAGCGTGTGGCGCATGGGAGCTGCTCACACACTGCAGCTCTGACGGATGACCACTTTCTCTAGCTCTCAGACACCTCCTTACTGAGAGAACAGGATTCTGTTCAAGAAACATGGAAATCGATGAGTGGAGCTTGGAGATGAGAGGGAGAGCAGCCGGAGCCCAGACCAACCTGTTTGTAGAAGATGCCTTTGCCCAGAGAGGAAAACACACCTTCAAACCTCTGGCAAAGTATATGCTTTCCTAGGACACTTTTACACGCGATGCTTCTGAGACACTGACTGTCTCAGCAAGAAGACTCAGGAATGGGCCAAAACAACCAATTCGCAGGACTCATAAGTCACTACTACCGGTCTCAGCCCAGTAAATGGGTGACAGGTATCTCACACCCCAAAATCAACAGGGTGGCTCTCTGCTGTAACCAGAACTGGACAAATGCATCCATCCAGGTGACAGGAACGGAGGTGAGGAAATGAAACAGTCTTATTATTTCTTTTCTTCACCAAACGCTTTTAAGAGGGTTAACTACCATGAAAATGCATTAGAATATGCTGATTTTGCCTCAAGTTTGAGCATTTGCGGTCCCAGGAGAACACTTGTCATGGGAGCTGATGATGCGCTTTAGAAATTTCTTTTGTGCAAGTTGAAGACTCCAAAGGCCACAAAATGATAAATTCAAAATAATTATATAATTAATTCATGATGCCCCACAACTTTTCTTGAAAGACTTCCTAGTGAGATATTCAGTAATTTTATGAATATGCATTTAGCATTCACTATATTTAAGGGACTGAGCTAATACTGTGGTGGATCCGAAGGAGAACGAGGCATGGTCCTTGTCTTCAAACTTCAAGTTCATCATTCATTGGGCAAGTCAGATAACTGAGGAACTAGGCAAGGAATCATATGTGCCATGGTCCAGGTATTAAGAAAAAGGAGTCGTGAAAGCACAAAGGATGGAGAGATGATTTCAACTGGGAAAAAATAAAAAATACTTCATAACGTATATCTGGACCTTGATTTTTCTGTCTGTAAAATGCGGACATTAACAGTATCTACATGTGAGGTTTAAATCAGCACTAATCAGTGCTTAGTAAATGTCAGTCTTATCATTGTCATTGTGGCCAGGCAGTCCCCTGACTCCTCCCCGACTCCACCCGCTCCCTCCAGGCCAGAGCCCCTCCAGGCCAGTCCTTCCTGAAGACCCCTGCCAAGAAACTGGGCTCCAAGGCCAGGGGCTGTAGCCACCTCACTTTATGACAGTGGCATTTAAAAGCCCCTCTTGTCTAGTTGGTGTGGCTCAGTGGTTAAGCATCAAACCACGGGTCAGGAGGTCACAGTTCGATTTCTGGTCAGGGCGCATGCTGGAGTTTCTGGCCAGATCCCAGTGGGGGCGCGCAGGAGGCAGCCTGTAGATGTTTCTCTCATCGATGTTTTTATGTCTCTATCACTTTCCCTTCTCTCTCTAAAATCAATAAAAATAGATATATGTTTAAAAGCCCCTCTGTAAATAGATCGGAGTCGGGATTCTCTGCTTATTGGCCCCGTGATTGGTTTCTCCCTCACTGCCCAGCATTTCTGGACATTGAGGACAGCTGTGACACTCATTAAAACTGACAGCTGAGCGCGACACCTCTCTGCCTGAGACGGCACGACTGTGTTTATTATGCTTCGCTCTGGTAACCAGCACCTTCTGGGCGCTGGCGCAGGTCTGTGCTCCTTCCCCGGGAGCCATCTGCTCCTTTTATGTCTTCATTCAGCACACATTGTTCAGGGTGTCAGCTGAGTGAGAATTTTTGCTTCATGAAAATGTTACCAAATACCGACACCGTGAAGGGGGACGCACCAGATGTCTGTCTGCAAGGCAAGCAAGCGCCTGGCCTGGGAGGAGCCGGGCAGCCAGCTCCCCAGGCGTTTCCAGGCCTGAGGCTTGGCACTGCGCGCTCCCCCGGGGCCTCATAACTGACCCCCACATTCCATTCCAGTCACCATTCTGGAGAAATCTGTCGGCTGTGCCTCCGATCCCAGCCTGGAAACTGGTGTCTGTTCGTTTTCTCCGTTTCAAGCTGAAAATTGAGACCCACTTGCTGGGTAATTCTGACCTAAATGACACACAGGATTGTGCGCCACGCCATGACTGACTTAATTTCCCTCTTCCTTTGCGCCGTCGAAGCTTTCTCAGGGCGCACATAGTTGTCAGTGATACAGGCCGTTCACAGTTGGAAGTTAAATCCAGTTGCCAAACCTTGACCAAAACTATTTTAGGTTTTAGTGCCCAGCTTAGGGCCAGGGGTAATAAAACAGTGTTCTCGGGTTTTAGCAAGGAGTTGGGGCTGGGGGCGGGTTCTAGATCATGATGATATTCAGGACTTAGGGTATCGAGGCAGCGAGTGGACTTGAGGGGATTGTCCTAAAGTGTAATTTTCCTTTGTGTTCACATTAAAATCAGTGCATAGTTTATCATCTTTTTGTCATAACTCGTTACTGCGTTTGGGAGTGAATGAGCTTCTACAGATGGAGCTAATGGTAAAATTTCGAGGGAGAGTAGGAAGAAACACTTTCAGGACGAATAGTCAGATTAATTTAAAATATTAATTCACCCAAGCCCACAGAGCTTAACCTGACTTGGAAAAGTGCTCTCGCTGAGGTGCCAGCCTAGAGAAACTCACAAGGCTTGGAAGGCCGTGGCGTTGAACAAGACGATCTTGACCTCATGGGTATCATGAATTCCAGGCCCCCTGAGT